AGAAACGGGCTTCACTCGCTGCCAGCAGCAGGCTCTGGTGGTCGGCAGATTTTTTTTTTCTAGTTGTTGCTCATCTTGGCTTTCCCCAAGGACAAGGCTGGGCTGTGGCTATCGGTTCTCCCAGTGCTTTTTGGGCTTGGGTCAGGCAGGTTTACAACCCGCTTGCGCCGGGGATGCGTCCGTGTGGGGCATACCCTGCCACGGCACCTGTGAGAGCTGGGGCCGACCACGCTTCCTATGAGCCGAGAAGAGGGAAGGCGGCTGTGCGTGCCAGAGCGGAGCCAGTGCTCTTGCGCACAGCTGCTTGCCTTGCAGCACCCAGAGGCAGAGAGATTTCTTTTTTGGGTGTTAGCACCTACCAGCGAGTCCCTGGTCACAGCTGCTGACAGGCAATGGGCTGCCAGACCTGCGCCACAGAGCAGGATTCATGCTCTTGCAGCCCTGCTCACAGGGAGTCTTCTCCCCCCCCAGCTCTAGGACTTTCTCCTCCACTAAGTATGGTGAAGGTTGAGTTTCATTTCTGAACCTCCACCTGGCCCATTCCTGATGCCCTTCTCCTCCTGAACTAATGCTCCTTCATCCCTCTGACAGACATGACTGATCCGCCTCCCTCTCTTCTCCTCTCCACGGTCACCAGCTCCTTGCTGCAGTCTCCAGACAGGAGCTGAAGCAGATGATGGTGATTTTCTTGCTCAGCATGGTGACTGCAATCACCCCCCCAGCTGCACCCGCGTCCCTGCTCAGCCAAGCCTGCCCAGCCCCACCTCTGGTGCCTAATGACCATCCATTACCTGCTGACACACAAAGCCTTCTCAGCCCTGCTTCTCTCCACCGTGACCATGTATAATCCTACCTCTAATTCCAACTTAGGCCAACACACCCATCTGCCTCCAACCTATGCCTCAGCCCAGCACAGGCCAAGCGTCTTCCTCCTTCAGCCATCGCCTAAAGAAAATCAGCCCCTTGGAACAGGGGATTAAAGCTAATGTGGCCCCTAGGAGCTCACCGGCACAAGGTACCACCTCTTTAACGCCCAAACAGGGAAAACCAGAAAGATGAAATATTGACATAAGGGATTAAAGCAGTTTATTCACAAGCAGCTGCATAGGAAAGCAGTGAAGGGATATTTCCCAGCCTGAAGGAGGAGAGGGGAGCGTCTCTCTCCAACACTGTGAGATGTCACAGCACAGGGTCTCCAAACCAAGAGTGGCCTTGGCCAGCATCACAACTGTGGGCAGGTGCCTGCTCAGCTATCGCTCCCTGCTTGCATTACCACAAATACCCACTGATTATATAGATATACTCACCGGCACAAGGTACCACCTCTTTAACGCCCAAACAGGGAAAACCAGAAAGATGAAATATTGACATAAGGGATTAAAGCAGTTTATTCACAAGCAGCTGCATAGGAAAGCAGTGAAGGGATATTTCCCAGCCTGAAGGAGGAGAGGGGAGCGTCTCTCTCCAACACTGTGAGATGTCACAGCACAGGGTCTCCAAACCAAGAGTGGCCTTGGCCAGCATCACAACTGTGGGCAGGTGCCTGCTCAGCTATCGCTCCCTGCTTGCATTACCACAAATACCCACTGATTATATAGATATATATATATATATATATATGCACACCCACTTATTATATTCTTCCTACTGGTTCAGAACAGATATATGTGGACTGAGCATGGGATCTACCAGACAAGCGGCTTGGCCAAGCGCTACCCCTTGAGCATGTTCCAAACACGCCAAGGAAGCACCACAGCGAGGATGGGAGATGGACAAGCTGGCTACACTGGGCAGGGTTGGACGCTTGCAGAAGCCCGAGCAGCCGTCGCACCCACCTTAGCCCAAACCCACATTGCTCACCAGCAGAGCCGCAGCCAGCCGTACGCTGCGCTGGGGACGGGCAGGCAAAAAAACCCAAGGAAAACACTGAAGATCAATTCAGGCTCCAAAACGCTGACCATAGACCAGGGCAAGTCTGAAACCAGAAAATGCTTTATTGGAAAGGTACAAAAAAACCAGTCACTGCAGCTAAATTTACAGCAATAAATTACGTTGTGGCTGTCAAGAGAAAGTAATGGACACATACACAGGGCTATTCGCCTTACAAACAGGAATCCACATTGCTTGGTATATCAATAATTTATTTTATAATAAAAAAGCAGCACAAAAATAAATATTGAAATGAAATTACTGAGTAACCACAGAGGATAGAATGAGCTGGTGATAAAAAACAACTTAAAACAGAAGACTTCTATCATTAAAAAAATGAAAGCAAGTATCCACCATCTACGGAAACACCCCAGCAGACTGAAATACAGACGAAGGAAAACAAATCCACCTTACAAAAGTTTTTCCTTTTTGTTTTGTTTCATTTTTTTTTTTAAATAAAAACAATCATGACAATGAAGTTTAAATGATTCGAGAGAGAAAAAAAATGCCACCTTCTCCTCCTCCCCGGGTCTGAGCCGTCCAGTGGCCTGACCACTCCGTGCTCCCGTGGCATCGCGCCCAGCCCTGCCACAGCTTGCCTCCATGCTGGCTCCCCCCCCCCCGGCCGTCCCCGCAGCTGCGGTGTCACCCAGGTCTCCGAGCCCGCGCTCTGCGGTCTCCTCCGGCACACGGTTGAGTTGGGCAAGAGCAGAGACGCTGACTTGCTTCAAAGGGATCTGGAGCTGCCCTGGAGGGAAAGGTTCCCCACTCCCAACAGAGCGCACAGCAAACACATCTGCAAGAACAGAGATGTCCCTCCCGGTCCCTGCCCGACACCTTCTGTCTTCTCCTGCCTCCCGCCCAGCCTGTTCCCATGTCACACTGCGGATGGGGAGCAACCACAGAAAGGCCAGGCCCAGGGGAAGAGGATCCCAGCACTCCAATCCAGAGCCCCCACTCCTCACTGGGGCAGGACACATTAAGAGGGGCAGGGAAGGGAGCCCCGGCATCCAAACTACTGCAGCAGAGAGCCAAGCGAGAGGTCCGGCGGCGGGGGATGGCTGCGGAACCAGGGCCCCACGCTGCGCTCACCCCGGGCGTCAGGCTTGCAAGTGCAGGACGGAGAGAAAAAAACAAAACAAAACAAAACAAAAAACCCCAACAGAAACAAACCGAACCCCAGAGGAATGCAATGCGACAACCCCAAGCTGGAGGGCCCTCCAGGGCGGAGGGTGGAGGAGCTGGGTCTCCAATGCGGTCAACAGCTTTCGGGTCATTCCTCCCTCCACGTTACCTTGCAACTCTGATCCCTCTGTGGCAGTTTAGCCAGAACATTTCATTCCCCTCCAGGTCACCACCCAGGGAGCCCTGGACTGGCAATTTCTTTTAATAAAGATTTACAGTATCAAACTTGGAAAAAAAATTATTTTTTTTTTTTACGAAAAATCTGTACGATAAAATGTATATAATTATATATTTATATATATATTTCTCTCTCTTTAAATATTTCCACGTGGTCCTTATGGATATCCAATATGGATTACCTACCATGGCTATGGTATCAACAGCTTTAACAACACCCAGGCCTCTTGTTCATTATCGAGTGACCAGAGATTTAAGTGCCTACCAGCACTAAACTAGCAATCACTTGGACAAGCCTTTGGCACCCTTCCAAGAACTGGAAAAAAAGAAATACTTGGCCACAAGGGAAGTGCCACATAAAAGATATGTTTCTCAACTCATTCCAACAGCAAGAAGACCCCATGGAACAAAGTTCGACCTCCGTCCCCCTCGGTGCAGCTGGTCTGATTTCCCCGGCGGCGGGGTCAAGGGCAGCCAGAGGGTGTTCCTATCTAGCCAGGAATGTTATGGAGCTCTGGAGCTGTTTTAAAGACTGGAAGCATTCGGGCATTTTCAAGTCAACTGGCCTTTTTCATTAAAGTTTTCATTTAAAGCCCCAACAGTGCCAGGAGTCTCCATTTTGCCTGTTTTCGGAGGCACCTGTAAGGTCTGGGAAAGTTTCCAATGTCTGTGAGCTGGAGAACATGAGAGGACCAGGAAATGACAGTAACATCTTTCTCTTCCTCAGCTTCTGCTGTGGGAGTCAATAACGAACTGATACACAGGACATCGATCTGCCTGTTCGGAGATAGGGAGGGAGTGGAGGAGAAATGAGGTAACGCTAAGTGTCATCCAAACTCTACGGGTTGGAAAATCACTTGAAGGAAACTCCCTGCTCCCCTCCGTAACACGTGGGTCTGGCAGGGGTTACGAGCCTTCGGGAAGCGTTTCACTTATACCCTTTCTGGCTCAGTAAGGTCATGGATGTCAATGTTGAGGACTGAATGAGAACCGAGGTTTCTCTTTTCATTAACCTATTTCACAAAGGACCCTCCTGGGAAATCCAGAGACTCCGATGACAAGGTGAAAAAAAAAAGAAAAAGCAAGCTAACAACTTCTTCCAAAGACAAGTAGGGCTTCACTAAGTTTCTACAAACTTACTGCATTTCAAGTCAAGACAAAGCCTCAAACAACAAATTATACCGGGTGTCAGATGCCAGTTCGCTGTCCCCTTTGCAACAACAGTGGCACTTGATTACTCTCTTTCAGTCCAAAACACTCATGAATTCTCCATGATCTTTGTTTTCTGTTCTGGAGCCCAAATCCTCTAAGCTCTTCTCCTCATCTTAAAATTCAAAAATCTCATTCTCTTCTCACCTGCATGACAACAGGCATCGTCCATTCCACAAGTCTCTGACCTGCCCTGCAAAACTCACAGTCCTTTTTCTTTCCTACTTCAAAAAGAAAAAAAAAAAAAAACAACAAACCAAAAAACCACACAAAAACACCAACAAAGATAAATTTTTTTTTTTTTTTTTTTTACAGTGACCTGGAAACATTCGTCTCTTCAGCGCTGCTGCGCAACAGCAGAATCTCTCCTTTCTGCTTCCCACCTCCTGCCCATTGCCGAGCCAGAAATCCCTCTCCTAAACCACTGCTCAGAGCCATATGAACGACTTCTCAATCCCAATTCTTCCGTCCCCTGTACACACCGATTCTCATCCTGCCCTCCGTGCGCCTCTCGGGTGCATTCACCCAATCGCAACAGAAAGCGTCAAGTTTCAGGGTCACATTCACACAGGTTGTCTGAACACTGAGGGCTGTACACTGTACTCTTTGGATCCCACCTTCAGCGCCTGACACACTGCAGAGAAGAAAAGACTCTTCCAGCTCTCATCCAGCCTCCCCATAGCCCTTCTCTGGCCGTCAAAGACTGGCGAGCCCAGCTCTCCAGCAAGGATGTTCATTGCTGAACCTACCAATGCTTTTGTCAAAGAGGAGGCTCGAACTTCTCTCCTCCCATCTGAATGCTACTGCCCTCCAGTTATACCTCAGTGCTTTGAAAACATCTGTCCGAAATACTCTGCGCAAACCCCTTCTCATAGTGCTGATCCCAGCAGAACAGCCCCACCTCCTCGCAGCCAGCTCTGCCTCCACCTGGTAATACTTGCAGCATTTTTCCTCCTCATCTCCCCTTCTCATCACACAGATCTTCACAGCATCTACTGTGCCTCCTTCCCTTAAGCTTCAGGGAAGGCAGAGGAGGAAAAAAAAAAAAGCCGCTACTTCAAGACTGTGGACCATTTGGAAGAAATAAACTGCATAAATACACCCAATTCACAGGCACACCGCAGGGAAGGAGCTATCGGGAAACTTGGGCTTGGAATACAGGAGGCTGCAACGTAGTTTTTATAGGCCACACAGGTAATGGGGCATATTAAAATATGTAAAATATATATTTTCCCATATTTTAACAGCATGGATTGAAAACAAAAAGGTTATTCCTAATGGGTGTGGTCAGACCCAAGCATTAGTCCCCATCATCCTCCCGCTCCCATCCACTCACAGCAGGATGAAATCTAATCCAAGAAGCCTATATCCCTGCCCTCGTAATACCAGACGGAAGTGCGGAAGGTCGGGGAGACCCTTCTTACACGGAGTAGGATGCCACTAAAGGAAACTCCTTTTTCCATACATTCATCTCACATGATGATTTCTGCGGCCCATCTGTTTCCTGGCTCTTGAGCATCATTCACGAGGACTCCGGAGGCTCCTCAGGTATCTTCTCCCAGCTGGAAAGCTGCCCACGGCTGAGAGGGGTTTGGGGCGGCAGGGGGAAGGAGGAAGCAGATCTCGCAATTTGTACTGCATACAGAGCTCAAATCCTGGACACGAGAGGTTGATGGAGCCACCAAGTCCAGACAGAAGCAGCCAGTTAAGTTCCCTTTGTAGGGTTGGGTTTGTTTGTTTGGTTTTTTTTTTTCTTTTTTATTTATTTTTTGCACTTTTGGAAGAGAATTGTTAAAATGCCAATTCTTGACGTGACCAAGGACTCCGGAACAATGCGTAAGAGCCTTTTCCCCTCCCCTCTGAAAGGCTGCTAGTTCCCCCCACCGAGGGCACTAGGACGCTGCTGAAAACGGCACAGAACTGGATGAGATTTCGGCTGATTTCACAATGGTGATGACACTGGTGGTGGCAACTTTGGTCGGGGTAATAGGCCCTCGCGCCACAGTACGAGCAAAGGTCTGGAGTGCTTCGTACTTGGAGCGCAAGGCGTCCAGCTCTAGCTTCATGCTGCTGTTTTCTCTGGCCAGCTTCTCCACCTCTTGCTGCAGCTCGACCCGCTGCCTCTCCAGCTCCTCTTTCTGAGTCACGCGCTTGATGTGGCAGCTGGCAGCGTAGCCCCGGTTCTTCAGCGTGCGTCTCCGCTGCTTCAGACGGATGACCTCCTCTTTGGTGAGACCCCTCAGGTGCTGGTTCAGCTCCCGTACGGACATTGACACGAGTTCATCATCACTCAGCACTGGGGCATTCTCTCCTGACTCCTCCTTTACCTGCAAATACCAACAGCACAGGGGTAGCAGCAACCCTACGCAAATGGACGTTGTGGGCAGCGAAGAGAGACAAGCCACCCCTCAGCAACGTGACACCCCTACCAGAAAACACCCCCGAAGCGCTGGAGAGAGCACTCCCTCCATGAACACGGCTGGGTGAAATACGGCCAAGATCTGAGCGCGGCTGCTGTCTGGGTTTGGGTCACCCTCTCGAGTCAGAGAAAGCAGTGAGCCCTACACACCCAGTGTGAACTGAAGAGTAGGATTTTTTGAGGACATAAATGTAAAGCAGACTGAAGCCTTTTGTGTTGCCTCTGCCAGGACCCGGAATTCATACTGAATGCTAGAGATGACACCTTTTCCCAGCATTATGCTGGGACACCAGTGCAGCATCTCAAAAGCAGAATAGCCACTCGTATGCAGGGCTTAATTCAGCATTTTGTGGCTTTTTGTTGAAGACTGCTCATCCAAGTAGTAAACAAAACCAACCCTGCTTGGCTTCAAGGACCACAGCCTGATTCGGTTCTCCTGGTGCACAGGCCAGACTCTGAAGCTACGCGATAAAGACACCACGGCCTTGTGCCTTTTTCTCAGCCAGGTCTGCTGCCACAATTATTTTCAGAATCATAGAATCATTTAGGTTGTAAAAGACCTTTAAGATCATTGAGTCCAGAACATTTAAGACATTGTCCTTTTGTCTCTTCAGAGACTGCAGGACATCTGGAATGAAGAGCTAAGGCACTGGAAAGACACTCAGACAACGCACGCACAACCCATGCGTAGATCACGCCAAGCCGGTATGTCCACGGCATTTACTGTCTCGTGGATCTGAGAGACACCAGCTGAACACATCCTTTCCCCAGTACCTCCCAGCAGAAGTACTTCATTGATGGGCCTGGGAGCACTGGTTTCGGGATGCTGCCAGTACCTGCTGTAGTCAAAAGTCTCTTGGATAACAACTGGGATGCTGTAGCCCTCACATCATCCCAGAAACTCCAGACTTCTTTCTGGGTATCACCAGCCTTCTTCTACCCTAACCTTTCCTGTAGATAGCGGGAAATTGTATCGGCACCTGTTTGCAAGAGTCTATCAGAGCAACAAAGAACAGTCACGTACAACCGACGCTGCATGGAGCACGGCTCCGTGACAGCCTCCCCTGCCACCCAGCATCGCCCACGCAGCCTTCTTCCCTACCTTTAATGCCTTGTTCGGTTTGGGATTAGTCGTCATAACCTGAGCACAGTCTTCTGGACAAAACTGCTCAGAAATTGCAACTGGAAAAACAAAATGAGATTTTCAGGTTATAGTAATCTCAGAGGTGAAGGTAGGAAGAAAACACCCAACACAAAACCCCACCTCAACCACCACCGAAAGAAATAACCACACAGTTGTTTAAAACACCAGGATGGATCCAGAGATCAGTTTACCCCATTCAGATACAAGAGAGAGAAATTTGTCTTGACAAGTGCATTGCTTTTTAACGCTAAAGACATCCTATTTTGCTACTAACTACACCAAGAATAAGCGGGGAAAGGAGGGCAGGGAGGGGGGGAAAAGACACCAGCTCCGTCTGTGACCAGCACGCACTGCCTTGCAATATGCCACCCCTGCTCACGGGGAGCGCGGCTGCCCAGGCCCAGTCACTCACTCACCTCCCTCCAGAGGAATCCCAGACGCTCAGAATGGCCTATTAGGGACTGAATTAAGAGTTACCTCCGCTCATAAAAGACACCGAAAAGCCACAAGACAACAACTCCCTTCATTCTTATTTTGATTATTATTAACCCGGCTCGAAATTGAATCAGCAACCCATAAAGGAGCTGCCTGGTTTGTAACCTGCTTTCAGTGCCGTCCCCACCCAGAGGAGACGCAACCAGAAAACCCAGACAACAGAACAAAAGCCCCCCCTCCCCGATAACAAAGCCAGGCAGGAGTTTGCCTCTCCCAGCACACCAAGACTGTTGCTTCCCACTCCCCTCGGCCCCAGGCTGCGAGGGCTGACCTGCCAGAGGTTTCTAGAGACGCAGAGGCACGTCCACCGACGGAGAGCCCAGCCCCTGCCGCGACTCTGCCCTTCACCCTCACCTTAGCCGGTGACTGCACCCCTCCGACCAGTGAGTCACAAAGTTTTGCCCCCCCCCGCCACCCCCCCCTCTGCCCGCCGCTCCCCGGCGGGGAGGGCGCGAGGGTCCCGTCCCCCCCGACACACGGCCCCCAGGGCTGCACCCAGCGCCGGGCAGGAGTCCTCGCTCCCCCTCGTCTCTCCCCACCTTCTCCAGCCCAGCCCAAACCCTCCCCGCTTCCACGTCTGCATCGTGTCACACATCCTAATCATTCATGAAAAATCCAGCCAAAGCATCCCAAGCATGATTCCCTTCTGATAGTTGCCATGGTGACCTTGGGAAAGTAGCCAACCCGGAGACAGTCGCCATGGAAACAGAGAAGCCCAAAAGCAATAATGACTTCAGGTCATGTCTGTGCAAAGACATCACGAGGTCGTCGGAGAGTAAACAAACTCATTCATATCTGCAAATGG